TTTTTTTTATATAAATCCAAGTTTATGAATTAAAATACAAAATTCCGTAACACCATCAATCATACAATTATAATAAGTGAAGATTTTAAATTGAATTTAAATAAATTTAAATTAAATTAATTACTATTAAAATTAAATTAAAAAATAAAACTATTTAAAGTTTCCAAGAAAGTTGATATATTTAGAGCATTTTATAAATGATATGATATAAATATATAATAAAATAATTTAATATCTTTTTAATTTTGGAAATGGTGACATGTTTTTTGATGATTTATTTCCACCAATCAATTTGCCACATGGTATGAAATTGAATACATGTCACCAATTGAAATTGACAAATGTCAATCAATTAGGTGTAGAATTCAACTTTTATATATTATATAGATTAGCTCAACTTAATTCATTCATATATATATATTGCCCAACCAATAAAAGTAAATTATGGCACGCTCTCCAAAATAAGATTAAATTACAAAAAAAATTCTCTTGTTTGGTAATTACAATCACTCCTTAATCATGTATTGTCTTACATGTCCATCCTTATAATGTTAAATTTACCTACTAATGAGGGGTTTTTTCGTAAGAAAATACATAGTTGAGCGAATGGTTGTAATTACCAAACAAAGATTTTTCCTAATTTGACCTTATTTCTGAGGTGGCTTGTAATTTGCACTAGTACATCTTGATATATTTAACATCCGAAAAACTTATGAAAAAACACCAATAGGGGAATCCTAATATCTTGATATATTTCTAATATATTTTTCAAAAAAAAAAAAAAACATCCTAATATATAAATTTCGGATTATATATTAGGGCCTAGGCGGGGGCATGATTGTTTTGGGGTGATAAAAAGTTGTAGATCCTACAATCCTACTTTATCACATGTTTGGTTTCTTTAACGTAAGCATCGAATTGATAAAGCGTCCGGTATCTTGTCACAACTCAATTGATTCTTCATTCATCACTTGTAGATTCCATCGCTGCATATATTATGTAAGGAGACTTAATTTTAGCCATATTTTAATATATTATGTTATGTGTTTATTTAGAAAGAAAATTGGTTAAAACTCCATCAAAATACTTTTTATAACTAATAGTCCGTGTGAATATTCTGAATTTGCTAAAAGTCTCTCGGTTAGTTTAGTTAGACAGACAACTTATACTGAAAATAGGCAATCTACATTGAAAATGGAAGGTTTAATTGAAAATTTCAGACTAAAAAGAGGACTAAAACCAATGAAAATAGCATTTTCCAGTGACGGCTGCAAGGCGAAGGAGTGGAAGAAACATCATTTTTTGAAGTGAATGTTGTTTTGATGATGGATGAGGTGGAAAAGAATAATTTTTTTTTTTTGCAGTCTAAAATATATATTTTTTAAGTCTAAGATCCTTAACTAAGCTTCTCGAGGGACTTTTAGCAAAATGCGAAAAATATAATCGTCCTAATATGAAAGGAAATTAGACGGGTTTTTTTTCCTTTTTTTTTTTTTTTGAGAGGAAAGTGAAATTTCATTCACAATGAGCCAAACCAGATGGAAGGGTGCCTCCGTCGTTACAAGAGAAGATAAATCTAGTGGCAAAACGTAAAAGTGCAACAAGTAAAAGATGGTGCCAAATTACTAAATTATCATATGCCTGAAATAAAAATGTCACAAAATGAAAATCACATCTTTCAGAACAAAAAACCTTCATCTCCTATTGCAAAACATCTTATAACATGTTTCACACCTTTTAAAATGACCTATATCTTTGACATGATTCTCAAAATATACAACTTATGAATTCTCTTAAACATTTTATGCTTCACGAACTTGAAATAAATAAATAAATAAATAAATAAAATCGGCAAGCTAACTAAGTTTCATGGTCGTATTTTCTTCAAACTCCAAAGACTTGAGGAAAGGCCACTATATTTTAATCGAACATCAAAAAGAAGGGAAGGTATCATATTCAAGATTTAACTAAAGAAAAGATCGATACAGTTGACCTAACCGATCATACAAAAGCTGCAATAATCCTGAAGTTGAAAATGTCTTTTTCGACTTTATAAAATATTAGAATGGGAAAAACCATTATCAAAGATGCCGTTATATTACAGATGTTATATCTGCTACTACCATTACAAACTGAAACCTCAATCGGTAGTTGCCCTATAATAATAGTAATAATATCATAACCTGAACAAAAAACCTACTCCCACAAGTAAAGAAGAATCACAAGTTGTAAAATGTAAAGTAGAAAAAATCAAATAAATACTCGAAAAATCCAACGAAAGATTTTTCTTTAACTAAGACTAGGTACAACAATCAGACAACTTCAACTCGTAACATTCTTTCTACTTTATACTCTAACCTGCTAAAACCACCTCTTTCTAAAAGTTGGTGATCCGAACACCATTTCCTGCGGGTTTCTTCTGGAAATGTCGAAAAAAAAAAAGAATTAAAGAATGGAATCGAGAGCCCAAATGCATGTAGTGCTCTGAGAATAAATTAATTATTACCTGGACTTAGTTTGAGATATTAATATTTGGCCTAATGGAGACTCAAGAAATAAACAAGACTCGTCCACCATTAACAAAAAATTTGAAACTGCGTTTTTGCATGTCATCTGAGCGAGGTGGCGGACACAACAATATCCGTCAAATTATTACTCTGAGGAAGATCGGAACATTCGTTGCTTCCTTCTAGAAGCGATGCACTCTCGGGTTTCATAATAAGGAGTTGCTGCATGTCCTTTGGAAGAACATTAAACACAGCTTGCAGATCTTTCTTCAATTTCATGCACACTGCTTCTGTATCTTCATTCGCTCTTCCATACTGTTTCAGGAGCAAATTGCAATTAATTGGGGCATATAGATACAGATTGATAATATCGAAAATGACAACAGCAACATCTAACTTTACAAATAAATAAGCTGAAAGTAGACTCGTCATTTAACCGGACCATAAAATGGTAATTTAGCGACATTTATTAACCAACGAGTGTCACCAAAATAACCTCGACTCCACCATCTTACCTCAAGAGATTTATTAAGTAAAGCTACAAAAACGCCAAACTTTTTTTGTCGTTGTCGCATACAATACTTTATTCTCCTTGGCAGCAGCATTCAAGCGGCATCGGGTTATCATTTATTAATTTTAAAATCTATGTTGTCTTCATTTCTATGCCTCCAATGATATTCCTCCAGGTGGCGGCACACTTGCACCGACTGCTATCACATCACATGAATGTTCCCATTATTCAAGTCACCTCAGTAAACCAACTCGCCTATATTACTACATAATTATTTTTCACCGACAAGTTCTATTATTTGAGGTTCTATATAGTTTGATGTTTCACTATCCCTTTTATATTTCCAACAGTTACTTCATGACATATTATCTTCACTTTTTTTTTTTTTTTCAAATAACGTATGAGTAATGCATTACCACGTGCCTAGCCTAGGGTTCAATCTGCAAGGAAAAAATAAGTCTAGAATTTTTTTTGTAATTAATTCTCTTGTCGATATGACTATCCTTTCTAAGTACGACAAAGTGATACATAGCTAAAGACATTAACGATATCCAGGCAAAAACATTATGTCATCGCCAAAAACATGAACCAAAAAACGTACTAATGCCCAACACCTTTTCATGCATCCTTACTCCTTTTAGTTAAAATATTGAAGGCGTAAATCTGGTCACTGTTAGTATTTTATCTCTTGGAAGATATTCATTAATGGAGATAGTAACTCAGAGAACAAATACTGAAGCAACTTCAAGAAGTCTTGAGGGTAAAACGCACTCAATAAATTAAATTAACACAAGAAAATTAGTATAAAGATTAAAGACCGTTTTCCAGTGGGCAAGGGAAGATTACAAAGTTTTACATGACCATTAACTTATGATAAGTTTGCATTGTCCGTTGAAACCATATCACCAATATTTATTCCAAATCGTTACATACTAAATCACTTCTTTTACATTACAAACTTCACGAAATTCATCACTTCTATCTCAACAATTCCAAAATGTGCAACCCGTGCGTGCTTTTTTAGACAATAAGGCCGTGTTTGGTTCATGGATTTTGAAATGAAGAAAATGAAAATGCATAAGCAAATGAAAACAAAGACTTCGAAAACCTCTAGTATGTTTGGTTCCTAAGGTAAATGGCGATGAAATTGATTTTGTGGAAAATTATCTTCTTTACCCAAGAAGACGTTATTGAGGTTCTGCCATTGAGGTGAATTACTACAATAATTGGGTGTTTTTTAGGATGGATTGAAGCAGCTAAAAAACTTGCTAACACTTTTAAGTGTAGTTTTCTTCACTTTTTTCGGTGAAACTGTATCTTGTTTGTTTTAGTGACAATATTTTCACCTTTTTCTCAAATTATTTTAACAAAACAGGAAATCTATTTTCCTATTCCTTTCATCTTTTTATTTAGCATTTTCTTTCATCCAAACATAGTCTAAGAAACCAAGAATTAGGACTACCAGCATTACCAGTACCAAAAGCTGCTAAATCTGACGACATCAGAAAAATTCAAAACGGGCATGTAGAAAGTTTCATGCCAACCAAGTACTCAACAAGACATAAAAAATGGATAGATTAACACATATTACCACATATTACATAAAAATGGTTATGAATAGAATCAAGCTCAACATAGACAAAATAAATGTTTTATATATACGGCATGCAACCTAAATAGACTTGTTTAGAAGTTTCTCGAATAATACAGTATTCCAGAGCTATAAAGGTTAAAAAAAAATTAAACTCATTTAACTACGCCGCTAATATAAATTGAAAGGAAGTTTTGGTTTGAATTTGGAAAAAACTTGCCTGCAGTTCCCCAAGAAGGTGCCTCTGGATTGCATTGAACGAATCTACAATTTCCAATTCGGACAATCTACCTATCAACTGTTGTATGTCTGTCTTAACTCTAGCTTGCCTCCACAATTTATACTGTTCTTGCTCAGCAACTGCACGTTTTCTTCGGAACCAAGGCAGGAAGTTGTATCCTCTCAAGAACTTCCTGCATTATTGTGCTAAACATATCAATATTTGAAGATTATATACTAAATCAAAAAATCAAAAAGCAGCTTAGCCTAGAGATTTATATTTAAATAAGGGAAACTACACCATGACCTAGAAATCAACAGACCAAGTAAGCCCATCTTGCAGTAAGTCGAGGAAACAAACATGTAATTAAGAGAAAATCTGTTACATGCTAAGTCACCATCGACTATTATCTTTCCATTTGGAGGACTATTAACAAATAGAATATGAATGAATGAGGCAAAAAAAATCAACTAGCAAGAGGTAGACGAAAAAAGATGGATATACTATATGCATTGCCAGATACAAATTAGAGGTTGATACTTTTATGGAATGTACCAAGAATATCATCTCAGACCAAACTTTTCGAAAATCGTGTCTTGTCTGGCAGTTGGAGAAAGTGTTATAGATGTCGGATATAAATTGTGATCCTCGTATAGGAAGTAGAAATCAGCAAGACGATGAGGGTTATCAACTTATAACAGTGGCAGCAGAAAACCAATTACATGCGAGCAAAAAATGGAAATTTGATTTCTCATACGTCAAATCTTTCTTTGCTGCAAATCTATAACATAAACCTAAGCACCTAGCAATTAGAGGAAGTTGATCAATTACACTTCCTTTTCATTGCTTGTAATTTGACAGAGTAATGTGCATAATGTTCCAAATGGAAAAAAAAACATTTTCTGAAAAGGTATTGTAATTCAATACCTGTATAGATCCAACCAATTCGACCTCATCCGCTTCAGCAAAAACTTTCCAGGACCTCTTGCCGACAAGCTTATTAAAAACTCCTCAGCATTGAAAGTGGGCAGTGGAGGCGGATCGGCAAACGGAGATGATGCTTCGGATGGTGTATTTGCTCTAAAATACGGACCAAAAGGCGCCAAAAAATTAGTAGTCAGCTCCAAAAAATGGCGACGCAATATATCATTGTTCACAACCGACATCGACTCCTCAACTCTCGGAGACATCCCAGCATCAATAAGCCTATTCAAGATCGAAGTATCCGGCTTTGTCACTGCACCATAATTCGTCCACACAGCTTCTTTATGCTCTGTCATTAAACACAAAGGACCGTCTCTTCTCATTTTCACAGCATTTAAAAAATTCGCAGGACTAAACTTCCTCAAAGAAAGTTGTTGACCTTCCTGTTGACCAGGAATTCCTCCTCCACCCAAGCCCTTCGAACCAATAGCAAAACGATTCGTAGGATTCCCAACCGAAATGATGTGAGGCATTCTACGAAGTGCTTTCAAGAAGAAAAGATTCGTGACACCTAAAATCATCGGAGGGAAAGAAGCACCCTCTTGAAGAGAGTTCAATTTAGCAAATTCTGGGTCGTGGATAGTAAAATAAGGCCTGAAGTCAACGCTAAAAAGAAGTGGGGCGACCAAACTAACGAGACCAGAAACAGCTTCACAACACTGTGGAGGTGTCGGTGCTATAATCAAGATAGGTTCACCTACAAGCAGAAGCTCCCATAGCTTCCAAAGCTGCATTAATAGTCCCCGAAATGTACCGAAAAGATCCGAGTCGTGAAATAAACCCTGTGGGATGGATAGATTTGAAGGGAGAAGGGGAGCCAATGAGGAAGCGGAATCTTCGAAGATTCCACTATCTGATGGCAAACTATGAGAAGGTGGCAGGTTGACTTTAAGTGATGCATTCCCGATAGGAAGTTCAACTTGTTGACCAGGAACAGGTGTCGGCCATTTTGATACATAAGCAGCAATATAGTTAAGGGCTTTGCTTCCGATGTCAAAGTACAACGGCCCCATAATTTGTAACAAAGGTCTAAACACACTAGTGTAAGGACAATGTGAAAGAATGACCACTGATTTTTGTTCGCCGCCTCTCTTTAGCCTTTCATCGTGCCTCTGTCTATTGAAAACGAAGCCGTACAAGAATCTTGAGTTATAGGTGATGGGGTTTTTACCCTTTTGCCCATCTGTCCCTGTTAGTTTTTTATTATTATTATTATTATTATTATTATTGTTATCTACTTCGACAATCTCTGACGACGATGACATGCTCGAAACTTGAGGAATTCTGTGCCGCCTTATACGGAAGAAGAAAATACAGTCATGGATGCTTGAGCGATTATGGTGCTGCGAAACCGAATCGGGGAATGAATTAAAGGAAACTTCGAGCTCCTCGTTTTGTGTAAGACAGCCAGGTGGATAACACTCCTCGATGAGTTGACCTTGCTCGAGGTCAAACCTAATTATACAAAATGCAACCACCCATTGCTTCAAAGATATTTCATCAACTTCTGATGCCGCAAATTCCGATCTCAGAGAAAATGAAGGCGATCGGCTCATTTCAAGATAATTCAAAAACCACAAGTGATCAATCAGACAATCTCCACATCCACCATTTCACACAGTGAACTTGTAGCAAGACTGTTTCACCAATAAAACCTAAGATAAGACAGAAAATCACGAGAAATAAGATAGATAAGAACCCAAGTAAAGGAAACGCGTATATGCTTCGATATTATGTAAATCCATAACATCGGCAAGTCCCACTGCACAAGCTATAACCTACCGGCTACCTATAGTTTCGATCTCGCCTCTTTTGGATAGAAAAATGGTTCAACAAAATTCAATGGTGGCTATCTCTTAAGCATCATTATGTAATAACCTAGCCAAGTTTCTTATCCCCATCAAATGATTATACTTTGGAAAACATACCAATTTAAGGCTATCCCCATCAAGTTTTTTATAATTGGAATTTCATTATTCGTTTGAATCCAGTAGGAATTTAACTCAGGCGACCATTGCAATTTAAAAAAACAAAAAAAAAAAAAAAATCGGAAAGGAAATTGCAAGAGTTGTCTGAAATTACATAAAAAAAAAAAAAGAGTTAAATAAATTGATGAAGGGCTCTACTTAAACTACAATGTATCGAAGTAAAGGAACAAACTTGATTCTAAAATAACGTTAAAATAAAAAATCTAGCGGATTTAAATAGAGAGAATCATGCATATATTTGAAGACGGTGACCAAATTAAAGAATAAGAAGAAAAAAGAAAGTAGAAAATTAAGAAAATGACCTGATTTAAAGAAACCCAGAAGCTGAAATTGGAAAGAGCAGCTTGGATCTGCCAATGAGGCGAAAATCTGGAAACAGAAATCAACCAATTTTTTTTATTTTTTTGTTGGGGAATTGGGAAAGTGGGGAGTTGTTCAGTAGATTCGGAACATATTTTATCTTCCAGTTCAGCTCTTTGATTATTACGATCACTTGAAACGGAAATGATTTACCCACAGAATGAATGAATGAATGAATGCCTTTTCTTCGATTTCTCTTTCTTTTTTTTTTTTTTTTTTTCTTCTTTTCTGCTCTGGGCTAATTTGTAATCATAAACAAAATATTATTGCCTTTTTTTTTGACAGAGAAGGACAGAAAGAGTATTTTTTTTAATTCTTTTTAATTTTTGACCGAGAGATGGACAGAAAGAGTATAAAATTTGAAAAATCAATAAAGTGCTTCGTATAATTGTATTATTATTTTGTATTGTCCATTTTAATGCACTTGGATACTCTATTAAAATTTCCTCTTTTTTTTTTTTTTTTTTTTGATAAAATCTATATTTTATTGGGGCTATTCGACAAGAACTCCGATCTTTACCATTCTTATACACACAAACACACAAACACACACACACACCCACATCGGTGTTTGTAGATCAACGGTAAAAAATCACATGATGTAACCTTCACCGGGTGTAGCATAGAAATAACCGAATTTTTCCATTATTATAAGTCCAAATTAAAAATCCATTTAAGTCATAGATCATTAGATGCATATTATATATCGGTCTTTGCAAATAAGCCAGGTACTTATTTATAAAAGATTCAGACAAAAAATTCATTTACAAATAAGTCTACACATGGTCCAAATATTTGTAAAACACTAAAATAGCCCCTTATATTTTAATATACTCTAATTTCATCATTTAATTTCTTTTAACCTCAATTTGACCCCAAATTTCACAAATTATTCAATTTTGACCCAAAACTTTTTTTTTTCAAATTCTGTTTTGCCGCCGGATTCCGGCGTTGACTTTTCGATTTTTTTTCTTCCGAATTTTTTCGTCGGTTTCTAGCGTTGACTCTTTTTTTTTGCCTCCTGATTTTTGAACCACCGGTTTCCCGCGTTGACCGGTGGTTAATGCCGGTCTCCGGCGTTGACTTTTTCGAAAAAAAATTCTTTTCTTTATGTAACATTTTTTTTCGTTGAAACAACACTATTGCTGTGATTGACAGTAATATTAACTACATTACTGTTAACACAGTAAAATAACTAAACTACAGTTTAACACAGTAATATTGTTATATTAAACTCTAGCACAATAATATTAACACAACAAAACTCATTATTATTGTGTAATAGAGTAATATTACTATGTTGACCATTCAACAAATGTAAACATAGTAAAAAACCAAAAGAATTAATATTACTATGAGTGACATTAATATTGCTATAACAACAGTAATATGACCGTCAACCACAGTAATATTACAATAATAGATAGTAATATTATTATTTTACTCCGTGAATAACTCAAACAAACAACAAAATTCAAACAAAATAATTATATTGATGTGGTTGACAACAATATTACTATAACAATATTACTATAACAATAGTAATATTACCGTCAACCATAATAACATTATTGTGTTTACAGTAATATTACAATAATAGACTGTAATATTATTACGTTACTCCGTGAATAACTCAAACAAAATAAAAAACCCAAAAAATAATAATATTGATCTTGTTGACAGTAATATTATTGTGTTTACAGTTATTTTACTATCAACGACAGTAATATAATTACGTTGACTTGTCAACAAATCAAACAAAATAAAAAAAATTAACAAAAAAATAAAAAAATAATAATATTATGTTAATTTACTGTCAACGGCAGAACAATTACATTAATGTATTGTCAACGGCAGTACAATTACGTTAATTAACTCTCATTAACAGTATAATTATGTTAATTTACTGTCAGTGACATCACAATTACGGTTAACGTTTAGCGGCAGACGTAAAAAAAAACAAAAACAAAAACACTACAAAAAAATCAACGCCGGAATCCGGCGGCGGAAAAAAACAGACTAGAAAAAAAAAACGCCGGAAACTGGCGAAAAATTCCGGAAGAAAAAAAAATCGAAAAGTCAACGCCGGAATCCGGCGGCAAAAAAAATTGAAAAAAAGAAAAGTCAAAATTGGATTTTTTTGGTCAAAATTGGAATTTTATGGACAAAATTGATCAAATTGGGGTTATAATTAAGAATTGGGTATAAAGGGTTGTGGTAATATTGTCATATACATCAATGTTTCCTTTATTTATAATAAATATTAAAAGGATATGCTTATTGGTGAAAGAGATATTTATAATCTCTCATTTGATTGGAGTTATGGGGAAGATACTATTAATATCTGCACTAACAATATCATGTTTTGTTTGGGTGACAACACAACTTGGGTTGTGGAACGGAGACGCGATCCACCTCGGGTAGCCCTTAAAGACTTGACCTAAATGCTAGAGCAATATATCAGATTATCAGGTTCTGAACAGAGACGTCGGACCTGTGGGTAGACTCTAACTACACTGGAGACGGGGGTAAGAGTATTTTAATGTTTGAGTTAGCGAATATAGAATTGACATTAGATTCGGATTTGTAGATCTTTATCGATAGTACACTGGTGGATTTTACCCTAGAAGCCATCACAAATCAGAATTCCTCGCTTGTCCTGGCAGATCGTTATTTTATTTATTTTTTTCATTTTAGCTTCATTTCTTCCATTTTTTCGTCTGTCTAGATAGAGTTTAGGATAGTATACTTACGGTACTTGGTAAATTTAGGAATTTAATTCCCTGTGAATCGATATCTAGAATTCACTATTCTACAAAACGCGATATTGTACACTTGTTGTTTTTCATACGTATGTTTTACGCGTATCAGTGCATAGAATATCTGGATCTCTTCCAGCAAGAAAGACGCGATATTTGCCTGTAGGTCACCAAATTTCGCATCCCTCCATGTGGGTTTCCCCTGCGCTAGGGTTAATAAAAATCAATAGATATGCGGCCTTCCCACCGAACAAAAACTTCTACACTACATCAATGGTAGCCAGTAAGGCCAGTGCATTTGGTGAGCAATCAAGAATTTCGACGGGCGGCCATTACCAGCCAATTGTGAAGCACAAAGAGTCCTTTTTGCTCTTCAGATTGAGCTAAGGAAAGGATGTAATTCCATCATCATTGAAGGAGATAACTTACGGTTGTTTGACGCTTTAAAGGAAGATGAAGCTAGATTGGCTCTTTTTGGAGCCATCATTGAAGAAATTTTATTTATTGCTTGTAATTTTCATTCCATTTCTTTTCTATTTGTCAAAGAGCTGGAAATTGTCTTGCCCATGCTCTTGCTAAACTGAACGATTTGTCTTGCTCGGAAGGTATTTCTCTTCCCTTGAACCTGGCTCGTGTAGCCTAATGCTATCTTCTTTTCCTCAAAAAAAGAAAAAATAAAAGTCCCACAAACAGGTAACAAATTATTTTTTAGCTAAAAGGTGAATGAGAGTGCAAAGTGCAAAAGAAATTGTAATTTGAAGGTGCATTTAACCATTTTTTTTAATTTAAGGGTGCAAAGTGCTAATGACATGTCATTTGAGGGTGCAAATTGCTAATTACCCTATATTTATATGGGGCTATATGACAAACACCCCTCATCCATTTTTTACTTAAAGATAAATCCACTTTTATTAATGATATATATATATATATATATATATATATATATATATATATATATATATATATATATATATATATATATATATATATATATATATATATATATATATATATTTTCTTTGGATGTAGGGATAATTAAATTATATACATAAATTATCGGATAATAAAAACAGAAATAAAAGTCCCATTGTACTGTTCTAATTAAGATATAACAAAAATAAAATAATTAAAATATTTATAAAATAATGAAAATATTTGTACTGTTATAAATTATTAATTGCAAAACCTTAGGGGTATTTATGTCTTTTTATATCAAGTCTACACTCAAATGAATAATGGACCGATTGTGCTATATAAATAATTTCATAGGGGGGGTTTTTGCAAGTTTATTTATCACATGGGTTTTTTTGCTATTTGGAGATTATGCATGTGTACTTTTTGTAGTTTACTCAATTAACGACATATAAGTAATATTTTAGAATATTTAGGGGTGGGTTCGAGACAGAAATTCGGGAATTAATACATTTCCGGTAACTCAATTCCATTAATTCGCAAATGAAAGTTAGTTAGTGCCAAAACTTTATTCAATTTCTCCATGCGTGGAATCTAGTCGATTAGTTGGCCACCGATAACACGATGGCTAGCGGTAGACCGCTGCATTTTTTGAGGATCTCTCTTCCTATAATCTCAAATTCATGTAGACGTTTGACTTGCAATCCCTCGAAGAATGCCTTGGTTAACAATAACGGCCAGTTCTTCTCCGGACCTAAAAGTTTCATCTCGTGAACATACGGAGTATTCATCCTTGGCACCCGATTGCGGCTTGTAAGCAACAACCTACTTGCATTTTCTGTCAGAGAAAAGGTAACTTAATACAGTAGAACCTCGATAAATTGA